TGATAATTAGACTTAAATTGAATAATAGTTCATGTACATTAGATGGAGTACTTTCGCTGCCTACTTATCAGCTCGGCGTGCTATTTGATGTGTCCGTGCATATATCGCGAGGTCGTTAATGAGTGTATTTGCCACGCGCTCGTGATACCCAACCTATGCATGGGGTCCCTGTTTCCTTATCGGGACGTTTGCGTCGTCGTGCTAGCTTTCTGTGCTTACGCTATTGATGTTTTAGTCTGTATAATCAAGCGCGTCACTGACTGGGCACAGGCCATTCCGCAGCGATACAGGTATGCTGAACGCGCGTCTGTTAGCAGTAGCCAACGCGATATATACGCGCGAGGCGGGCACACCTTATAGTCATCCGCAACTCAACCGAGCTCTTATCTCGGTCATTATGGACAGGACACTAAAGTACAATATTGCGTTCAGACACATCGACTTGCCACGTCCATCTGTACGGTCTGCACTGTCACGCAGTGGTAGTATCGATGTAAACAGCAGCTTATTCGTCGCACGTAGTTCCCTATTCAATACTGTGGTTTAAATTGTGAGCGCCAATTAGTGCAATACACGCTATAAGGGCTGATGGTACAGATAGCATGGTTTTGCGTATGCCCACGTGAGCGAGTGTACGTACCATCTACGGTGACGCGTATGCAGATAGAGACGGCCAACTTGCATAGGTACACAGTACATATCTCGTGCTAGTTATTATATGAAACACGCTACGCTCTATAGGTGCGTCAACACGCTTGGTAGCGCCACAGTCAGCTTACAGTATGTGCGACCCCAAGCCTTGCACCGTCAGCCAGTATACAAAACTATGCGGGGTAAGGGCTATAAGGATGTATATCCAAATCACCTGCTCTTCTGCTGCTTCTTTCGCTCGATGTACTTGGCGTTTCGGGCGGTCAGCTTGCGAGGGTGGCTGCGCCTCGTTTTCTTCTTGGGGTACCAGTCAGGACCCATCGCCTTCTTGACGTTCGCCAGGCTTTCCTGGCGGCGCACTTCGGCCGAATCAGGTGGTGGGGGCTTTTCCCCCCAGAACTCAACCGCTTTTGGGCCGTTCTCGCAGGCAATACAGCGCCGCACGATGTCCCGCCCGCTGATTGTACGGAATGCGTAGCCGTACTGCAGCTTCCCGCAACCGACGCAGCGCGCCCGGTAGACCGCTGCGGGTTCAGCAGAAGCGGGTCAATCTTCGCCTCGCATTGCTTGCACGTAGGGCCCACCATTTTGCAAACTGTGAGTAAGTTAACAAAACGTGCGTAAAATATTAGCCAATAGCACGGTAATAAAAGGCTGACATTTATAATTAAGCAAATATTAGAATGTTTTATAATATTACTATCTATTAATAATAATATCAAATTTACAAACAAATACATACATTACGTGCAATATAAATTGACTAAAACAACTATCTATCGTGCGCGCATGCATTCGTCGGGTGGGGTGCACGGGAGCAGATAGCGCAATGACCGTGCAGCCGCGCGCCTGCATTGCACGGCAGTGGTGAGTGCCAGGTGAAGTAAAGAAGATATATATTCGCAAAGTCCCTACAAAAAGCGCTGGTCGTGAAGCCTACTCTAATATTAAAAAATACTATCGTCTCTACTTTAGAAAGTCTGTGGAAAATAGCATCGCCGAGCTCTTACAAATGCGGCCTGTAAATGGCGTTTTCTGGCGTCACTAAAAAAATCATTGCGAAGCAACTACTGGAGATATGCTTGTAAAATTTTGGGAGCGGTCGTGCGGACACATGCGACAAGTTTTTTGCTAAAGTCTGCAGGCCAGATCTGCCGGGCAGCACATAAAACCGGAAAAAACCACCTAAAAAAAGAGCATGCCAAACAAAGTCTCACGTTTCGCTGAATAACTTTTGATCTAGAAGAGTTAGACAAATTCTGATTGCGGGAACGGCTCCGCCGTGTGTTTCTACATATGTCTATGTACCGTAGATAAAAAGTACATGTTGCAAAAAAAGTACATGTTGTACATAAATCTACCTTTGATATTCGGATTCCCCGTGACAAACTACGCCTAGGCCGCAGGGTTACAAAGACGAGTCATTGCACTTATGCCCTTTTATAGGCGCTTTTAGAAATCGGCCAAAACAGTATTTATTAATTTAGACAGTGTTCCGCTGACATGTCGCATGCTGCGATGTGAAGCTTATATTAATATCGTCTTTACTTTGAAAAGTGTGTGGAAAATAACATCGCAGGGCTCTTACAAAATACTGGTATGTGAAGTCTACATTAATAATGATAAATATCTCTATTTGAGAAGTAGGACTTCGTTGGGCTTGTGCGATTTTATGTAGGGGTAGGCAATTTTGTGTACACATGATACACCATTTTTCTTATACTACAACAGGCATGCCCTTTCAGAGAGGCCGCGGTAGGGTAAGGGCAATGGCTTTTTTCTGATGCCTATTGGATACATTTCGCACGGGACGCATCCGGAGCCTGCGCACGTTTGAAAAAATCTGCGCTTCACTATCGAATCTACCGCGAACCTATCTGCTCTACTGGTGCGAAGGGCCCACAGCGCACGTGCGACTACCAAGGCTATAGGCACACGTAATTTATATATAGTCTGTTTCGGTCCAACGTAATATATTTGTTTTGGTTATTGTATGCAGAATGGACATCTCCGAACTCCTGTCGACGCCAGGATACGTGTGTGACAGTTGTCACCACGACTTTGAGCGGTCGGACCACCTACGGCTGCACCAGCAAGGACGCTGCCGCGGTATCTCTGCGCCCCCGTGCCAGCTTTGTGACGTGTGTTGGCATTGGGTCAAGGGGAACAGGCACCATGTCACGCGCCATCAGCGAGGGAGTAGGTGCCGCAATCTCGCCGATCGCATCGAGCACCGGAACCAGCTGGCTGCAGCGAGGCGACAACGCGACGCAGCATACCACCGCGAGCGACGTCGTCTGCAGCGGGAGTCCGTTGGAACCCAAGAACAGCTGGTGGGACCTGACGATGTGCAAGGTCGGTTGGACCAGCTGCTCGAGTCGGATGATAGGCATGATCGGTCGGACCAGGTGGATGATTTCGACACGGACAATCCGACTCAGCATGATTACACCCGAGATCAAGCTGCTCGTGATGACGATGATTATGCACATGATCTTCTTGATCAGCTGCTGTTGACTGGAGATGATGAGCTATCGGACATCGTTGCTGCTCCCAGCTTTTTGGAGCTAGAACATCAAGACAATGACGAGTCAAGGTGCACAAGATAATCAAGTCCATCAGGAAAATGGGAAAGCGGAGCACGTCCAGGCACAAGGTCACCAAGAATCAAGTAAGGCTACGGGGCGCGACGGTGTTACTGATTGCGTCATATTCCTGGATCCTCTCGATGGTGAGACATGGGTGTGTGACCAAGACAGCTGTCGGCAGCCGTACCACCGTGAGTGCATCAAGCGAACAATCCCCGTTGACCCACGTTGCAGTAGCTGCCGCGCCTACGTGCACCTTGAAGTTGAAGACGATGAAGTGATAGTTGTAAGGCATGTGGCGGCACCACCAACGTGTGTGGTTTGCCTCAGGGTCATCACGGGCGTGGTACTGAAAGGACCTCAATGTAGCCACACGGCTGACTACGAGTGTCTCGTGGCGTACAACGCTCAGTATCTGCGCAATATCCGAGCCCGTGACTTGCAGTGCTCAGCGGGTTCGCAGCCGTTCCCAGTCCCCGGTGGGCTATCCTTCAGTGATGAGGAAAACGACGAAGGATCGGAAGACAACCCCTTTGAGTATGAAGAACCGGATGAGGAATCAGAAGAATCAGAAGGTGCGCAAGACGATGGAGACGGGGACAACAGTGTTGACGAATATCACGCGAGTGACTTCAGCAGCTCTTCTGACAGCGATGAAGATTACGCCCCCTAAAGATAGGGAGAAGGCATGAGAGGTAGTGCCTTAAAATTGAAGGTGCAAATCCGTCGTTTCAATTTGTATTGGAATTTGTAAGTATCAAAAGTACAAAAAGAGACGATAGTACAATAAAGGGCGACGGTACAATAAGGGACGACAGTATATTAGGAGACGACAGTACAATAAGGGACGGACGATAGTACAATAAGACACGACGGTACAAAATGGGACGGACGATAGTACAATAAAGGACGACAATAGTAGAATTGAGGGGGTAAGTACAACAGAGGACGATGGTACAATAAGGGACGATAGTACAATTAACACCGATGGTACAACAAGAGACGACAGTATGGTACAGTCAGGGACGTCAGTACAATTAAGGACGATCGCACACCGCTACTTTACTGGCTTTCCTTCGGTTACGAACTGCTGCAAGGATCTTGTTGACGGTGAGTTCCTCGCCAATGAAGGTTGCGAAGTCCATCTTGAACTTGTCTTGGTCATCGTCGTACTGCTCGCGAATGAACTCGGCGATGATCTTCATCCTGGAGAGACGCGAGCGATGAACTTTTCGCTCACTCCCGCGCGATACTGGTGACAGTCCGGGTTCGCATTCCAGTACTGATGAACATAGTCTTTCCACGACTTGGCGTCCGGAAGTTCAGACACTAGTGCTGTCGTATCCGATCCTGGCTTAAGATTAGCGGCCACTGGCACTTCAATATCGTCGTCACACACCTGTTCCTGGGTTGAACGAGGTGTATCGCTAATAGCCTTGACCATTTCATGCAGCCCTTGAAGCAGTGTCTTCAGCTCTCCCAACTCGGTGTTAGAGGTATTAGTGTGCTCTTGTGCGGCGTCTGCTGATTCGGTCGTATACTGAGTATCCTGCATAGTGTCGTCTGATAACTGTGAGCCTCCAAAGTCGATATCTCGTATACCTTCGAGAGTCGCGCTAGTGCACAAACACCTGCTTCCCTCCTTCGCTTCTTGGATGTGCCGCGTGGTACCTTCGTCAATGATGGAAACGCGTAGTCGCTGTCACGCCAGGTGTGGTGAAACTTCTTCCGCGCGTACGTAAACCATCTATCCAAGAAAGGTCAATGCTTCAGCTGCCCGTTCTTCCTTCGTGAGATGATGGAGTGAGTAGGTTCGACTTGCGAGGGGATCATGATCTGTCTTCCGGTCACGAATAGTGAAACAGCCAAACTCGATGTCGCTGTCATTAACGCGCGATTTGCGCTTGAGACCAAGCTGAAAATCGCCCTTCTTCATGAACAAGACTTCGTTGATACGGCACATACCATAGAAGCTAAGAGAACAAACCGCAGAAAACCACAGCCGCATGGTTTCGTTGAACATCGAATTCGACTCCAAGAATGTAATGGCCTTCGTCAGCATCAACAGGGACATCGGGGACGCACGCTTTGGAGTCCGCTCGCGCTTCTTGGATTTGCTGAGACCGGCGAGAATCCGCGTGATGGCTGCTGACCGTGTCGGGTTGCCTCGAGGTGCTGGGGTGCCGTCCGGAGAAGTCTCAACAACCCAACGATCGTGTGGGTGGCCACCGGCTAGCATCTCACGTTTCGTGTAGTGCCAGCTAAGCGCAGCGCGAAGCTTTTCAGCGGGCCATTGAGTTGAGTTGGAGGTTTCGAGTAAGTTGATGTACGCGGCCACCACACCGGGCAGCTCCACAAATCGTTTCTTCAGTGGGTCTGGGTAGCCATCACTTTTGCAGAACGCTGAGAATCGTCGGAGACTGCTGCTGTAGTCGCTACGCGTCCTGCTCTCGAGTCTTTGATCCGCAAACCGGGCTGCAGCGATCGCAGCTTGGTAGCGTCGACTTGTGGTTGGCAGGTCCATTAGCGCCTTCGTCACGTGTTGGTCTTAGCAGCAAAAGGTGAAATGAAGATCTCTTTCATTCGGAGGATGGTCTCGGGTATCCGTCGTCCCTTATTGTACCCAAAACGTCGTCCTTTATAGTCCTGTGCCTCATACGCAAACGCATGGTGCTGACATATGAGTTTTGCAGTAAATCAATGACTTTTCAGTTTTTTGACCAATCAATAAACATCGCACGGTCATTTATTGGGCTCGCACCAGTGGGAGAAGTGTGCAGACCTCTTAGAACAGTGCGCGTCGTAATTATAGCCGCACCTGAAAAATAGAGCTCTTGCGCCAGAAACTGAGAGCTGCCTGCAATCAAAGGGCTCGGAGGCCGTCTTAAAGGGATAGAAGACTTGTGCAGCAAGCGAGGTTGAAAACGACTAAGTCGGCTTGGAGCCAGGAGGCAAAATCTGGTTTGAGGTCGGGTCAGAATTATAGCCGCACTTGGTAATTTAAAATTCAGTAAAGTAATAAACAAAAATGATTGACTTTCAAATGTAATAAATGAGACCTGTGGACAGCCGTGTGAAAGACCTTTTAGAACCTATTCTTAGATTCGCATGGAAGCCAGAAACGATGCCACGAGGCAAGCAGCTAACCGAGGAGGAGTGCATGATGATAAACGAGCACTACAGAGGCGGAAAAAGCAACCGAGAGATCGGCAGGCTCTTAGGACGCGACGAGAAGGCAATAAGGAACTACTTGAAGCGCGGGAAGGCGTCCTCGCTGACGAAGAGGACAGGAAGAAAGCCGAAAATAGTTGGCCGGGAGGCCAGGCGCGTCGTTCGACTGGCAATTGTTCGAAACCTGTCCGCCCAAGAGATCGCAGGACTGCTCCCATCGACACCAAGCAAGTCTACGGTACTCCGCGTACTACGTAGCAACCGCTACGTCACGTACGCGAAGAGAAGACTTACCCCTGCCATCAAGCCGCTTATAAGAAGGCTAGGGTAGCATTTGCGGAGCGTTACGCCGGTAAAAGGGTCTTTTGGAGACGCGTGCTGTTCACGGATGAGAAAATAAAGTGGTTACTGTACCCGATTTGCACGACAGGTTTTGCGTAGCTAAATGTAAGAAATCAATCATCAGCGCAGCTCGCCTGGCTATTTGCAACCAATCGATGCGTTTCGTGCTCGGCCGAAATGTTTACATCACGTCCAATCGCGAGGGCGATAGACGGTCTGATCGTGCGACAGATCCAGTCAGTGTCGCAGGTCGGCAGGTATTGCCCAATTAGGGCGCGAGTTAATTGTGTGACGCTTTTGGATATATTGTAGTTTTGGCATAGTTAGGTCGAGTCAGAAAGATAGGTACGGTCGGTAGGATGGAAGAAAACTCTATTGGAAAGGCCGAATGTAGCCATGCGAAAAGGCAGGAAAAAGCAGCAAGAAAGGAAACGGACGGACTTATTGACAGACGGACAGGCTGCAAGTATCTACGTTTAGAACACACACAGTTTTTCACGCTGGACGTCCTGTTCTTGCCGTTCGTGCTGTCCCTCCTTGTGCTTGCTCTGGATAAGGTGGACGTCGTCGTAGGTGTACTGGCACACCGGCATATTGGGGCCGTTACTCAGAACTACAGGTTTCGCCCCGCTTTGGTTCACTCCATAAGAAGAGGCACACTCCGTGAATCTGGCCATAGTAGGCTTCACGTAAATGTTGTGAAGCACAGCTTCATCCCCAAAGTTCCCGTTCATCATGACAACGCTTACGTTTTTGCCAGCGCGGTCACTTTTAATAACCGCAAGGTCCACGTAAATGTTGCTCATGTTGAGGAAGCGCTGACGAGGGTTGCTCTTGCAGTTACCGCACGAGCGGTACAGCTTACCGAAGTCCTGTGCGTAGAAGCCATCGACAACAACTGTACCGTATCCGTTGTGTTGGATCACCTTGTCGTCAGCATAGCGAGCCCCGCCCCCAATAACCCTGGACACACTGGAGGGGTTTCCACCCTTGATACTTAGAGCATCCTCACATACGTCGTCCCACCACACGTTGTCGATCGTGCAGTCCGACATCTCGCAATGGACACCCTCCATTTGGTTTGGACCGATAATGACGTTCTTGAGCGTGGCACCAGGTTCGACCTCGAAGACAGCCGTGGATAAGTTGCTTTCGGTATTTCCGAGGCATGTGATGTCCGAGCGGTCGTACGTCTTCATACCGCCGTCAAAAACTTGACCCGATCTCACGACGTAGACATCACCAAAAGTGATATGGCCTTGACTAATTGGCCACCTACCATCGGGGACCGGGCCACCGAATGCAATAGCAGCACCGATCGCAAGGGCGGCAGTCGAACCGAGGAGATAAAGCATGGAAGACGCAATGTTGGAGCTGGAATGGCTTTGCTTTTTCGATGAAGGGAAAATGAGAAATGCACTGAACTCCAGCTCTAGCAAGTCCATGTATGGAGTTGTACGTCGTACGCTGAGTCAGCGTCGTTTCGTCGCTGACTAAGAACTCCACGTGATTTACGTGGAGATTCAGTATTATAGACTTCGCATGGAGGCAGGTCGTCAATCGCAATCAACACATCTTTCTGATTAGCAAGTAGATCTGTTCGTGCACGTTTTAATTTATTAAATGTACCGGTACTGTTTTTAATAATGCTGCATCGTGGATAGTCCACGGCGCCTCGCAATCAATCGGTGATCTCGCGTGTGCTTGACGTCAACTTGACCATCTAGCACACACGTTAAGCTGACGTCACATCGTTGGAGATCCTCAACGCATTGGTACTGTACCTGTGCAGTACTGTACATTACCCATGCGTTCTCACGTTTGGTGCACTACGCTTGCGTGAAGTAGCAGCATGAAACCAGTCCACCCCTTAGTTCACTTTCAGTTTCACACTCTGCTCAAGACTGCCTCCGAATTCCTTTATCTTTCTAAAATGCTTCAAGCACTGAGCTCCATCGCCGCCCTCGTGGTTGTTGCCACGATGGTCTCAGGTCGTGCTATGCCCGATGGCTCTTGGCCTACCAGCAAGGGCACTGTCAAGTTCGACGAAGTTTACACGATCAAGTCGGGCGAAGTGTATGACGGCAAGATGAAGACGTACGAGCGCTCTAACATCACTTGCAAAGGACAAGAGGAGAGCGGCACATTCACAGCCGTATTCACGCTTGAGGCTAACGCTACCCTCAAGAACGCGATCATCGGTGTCAACCAAATGGAAGGAGTTCACTGCGACGACAACGACTGCACTATTCAGAATGTGTGGTGGGATGATGTGTGCGAGGACGCCCTAAGTATTAAGGGTGGCGACGCCTCCAGTGTTTCACGTGTCCTTGGTGGTGGTGCGCGCTACGCTGATGACAAGATTGTGCAGCACAATGGACTTGGCACGGTTATCATCGATGGATTCTTCGCGCAAGACTTCGGTAAGCTGTACCGCTCGTGCGGTTCGTGCAGCAACAACCCCGCCCAGCGTTTCCTTAACATCAGAAACGTATACGCGGATCTCGAGGTCATCAAAGCCCAGCGCGTGGACCCGAACGTGAGTATCGTCATGATGAACGAAAACTTCGGAGACGAGGCTACTCTGCACAACATCCGCGTGAAGCCTGGTGCGGAGAACTACACTGAGTGCAGTTACTCGCGCGGTGTGCAGAAGGGTGACAAGCCGCTCATTCTCGGCAACGGTCCTAAGAAACCCGTGTGTAAGTACTCGATGGACGAAATTCACCTTGTTGAGGGAGGAGCCAAGCAGCAACAGCAGACCGTCGGAACGGTTCGCCCTGCTGCTGATGTGAAGGATGACAAAGACGGCAAAGACGACAAAGAAGTATCCCAGCAAAACAAGTGAGCTACCGACTTCGAAGGAATGGTCGAGTGAGGATGAGTTCTTTTGAGTGTCAATTAGTCAAGTTCAAAATAGATGTTTACGTCAAACTTGAGCAATCTGTCCATTGGCTCTTCTATTCCTCCGAAGGCCAAAAAAGAGAAGAAAGTAAAAAAAGAGAAGAAGGCTAAGATGGTTTAGAAGAAACCATGACTCAGCGTATAATGACGGTTTTCAAAAGGTTGGACGAGGAGGAGTTTTTTTTGTCAAGAATAGAGGCACCAAACAAGAACTAGTAAAACTTTTTATGCTGGGGCACCAAACAATAAAAGACACGAAACTACCAAAGCACGAAACAAAGAACTTTTTATTACCCACTACGCACTGGGCGCCTTCCAAAACCCACATAAAACTGGTTTTATCCGTAGGGCTAGGTCAGATCAAACGTGCAATTAAACGGCGGATTAAACCGAAATTGTTTGTGTAACGGGGTACGTAGCCCTAAGTGTACCCTGGTTACATGAAGTGTGACACTTCACACTTCAGGAGTATGACACGTCATACTCCGAGATATGTGGTACAAGGTACCAAGGTCGTTCAAAGCCAACCATTGGTTAAATGACATTGCATTTCTATAGGTAACTAAGGCCGTGTTCGGCTTGCAGGGGCAAATCCAGCTTGTTCGAAAATAAGCTAGAGCTGTAGAACAGTCGTTTTGTTATGTAAAATAAAGATAAAATAAGTGATCGTGTTCCATCAGAAAAAGACTGGATTTGAAGGCGCAAAGCAGGACGATTCAAAATTCAACCCAGAGCTAAATTTTGAAACCAGTCGTTTGGAGCTATCCTGCTGGATGTCATTTTTTGTGTTTCTTAGCGGAATAAAGCTGGTTGAGACATTTCAGCTCTTTAATACCAATTACAGCTGGTTTTAGCTTAAATCGAACACGGCCTAACAGTTTGTATTAAACCCAAACTTAACCTACCTATAAATATACTCAGTTTACAATCTACCTTATTTAGGTCACTTCGCTCTCTTTAATTAAAGAGGGGACCTGTGAACTGCCGTTCACTGAGAGTTTGTATACTCTCGGAAGATAACTTCCTCTAGCGCAAGGTGCTGTGTGACCCCGTCACACCTGGTAGCACTTGTAGTCAATCCACGCCACCGCGGGTAGACTACCTGAACCTCTCCGAAGTTCGTTGCCATGGATAGGAACGACTTCTCCCATATGAACGGCTCTCAGTTCGAGTCGGTTCGGAAGATGGCAGGTGTGGTGTTGAAAATCCCACGTGAACTCTAGCTACAGATGTAGTTAGGATGTTCCCACAACAATACGTCTACTAGGATAGTAAACGATCGTTCGGGCGGACCTGAAGACCCCAGTTCTGCCCTTGCACCGGGACAAACTGGACCTTGTAAACTACTTATATAGGCCAACCAGTAAAATAAGAACACGCTACTAGCACGAGCAAAGCTAGCAGGTGTTTTGAATCCTCGTGGTCCCAACAGCGGAAGGGTACCAGGCACGGGTAAGCCTTTTACGAGATCACCGAGTGTTCAACACTCGGCTGGAAGAAATAAAAGGGAGGCAATTCAAGCACTCCCAGTCGTGCAAATAGGCAACAATAAGCCGTCACGTAAAACCTCCCGATAATAATCGGCCAATACACAAAGTCTCTTGGCCTTGCCGGATGAACCCTCGCTACAGAGCTTCGAGTTCACCGACAGGCATAACACACTCAAACAAGCTTGACCTGACGCTTACCTTGAAGCCGGACGTCGCTCTGTGTGCTTGAGTGGAAATTTTGTTCTGTATTTAAGCTTACCCTTTCGGGTCTATTCCTAATAAGAAGTCCTAATCAAGTATACAAATATCAAGTGAACAATGATCCGTTATGGATCTTCTTGCATGCCAAGCGTCGTCTGCACCGTCGCATGAGCATCTTTAACGATCCGCGCCCTGTCCCAGACGGTGAACGTGTCTTCCAAAGGTCGCTGAGTATTCCGCGAACTCATCCCAACCGCCACTGAGGGTTCGTACCGTAGATGGTCCGCTGAATGCGAATCCGGCCTTCCATTATAAATAATAAGGACAGCCTGGATTCAGTGACATAGGGCCGTATCCGATACTTGTTGAAAACTCGGAGGTGACGCCGTCGAGTCCCTTGCACCTTGGCGTCTCCGTACATCACCCGACCGAGGGTTCGTCGCTTGAACAACTTGGGCGGTGTCACGTCTTTGTCGACGGGTGATAATCCGCAACTACGGAGAAATCACTACACCACAACTGCCCCTGTCGCAATGGAAGCCACGGTACTGGTGCCCGTTGTGACATTTCTTCATTCTTCAATTTACCATCTCGCCACCGTATGTCCAAGCGTCTGAATCGAGCCGTGTCCGACGCTTTTCAGCGTCTCAATCCTCGTAGACGTCGCGAACGTGAGCAGCTGGAGGTACGTAAGCCCATCCTTCTCCTGAATCATCGGTACCTTGCTCATCACCTCGTGTCACTCGACTTATTTCTCAGGAGGGCAAGACCGAGGGTTCGAACGCCCCTCAGTCTGCTGCACTTCCTTCGACAGCAGCGTCATCAACCGACACTCCGGCGCCCGCTGCCCCGGACTCTTCACTCCCTGTGGTAGCTCCTGCAGCACTCCCCGTCGTCGCTGAATCCGCGGAGATGGCTCCCGCTGCTCCTCCTGCCCCAGCTGGTGGTCCGCCACCACTCACCGAAAGTTCGCTGCGCGCCATGCTGGCTAAAAGTACGGAGGCATCGGTCGATCACATGATGACCTCGATAATCCCGTACTTGACTGCAATGGCTCGTCACCAAGTGCAGCTCAGCGTTGCGCCTCCTCTCCACGGCGATATGCACACTCAGCGTCGCCTCGAGACTGCTGTTGGTTTCGATGATGTCCTCGCTGCGTGTTCCACGACGTTCTCCAGCATCTCAGCCAACTGTTGAGGTATCCCGCGTGACTTCGTTTTCAGTGGTCGCTCTCCGGTCGGCATTCATGTTTTCTTATTCTTAATCCACTTCCACAGCGTAATCATGTTCATGTTGTTCTTTAAATGCATTTACAATTTGTTGTTGCAGTAACGTTTTTCGTCTGTTACCACAGGCTGCATCGCCCTGTGGACAGTTCACACGTGATCCAGTCACGCTAGTCTTCGTCCGCCACCTGCGCCATCTGCAGCCGATTCTCGCTCTTCTTGGCTCGCAAATAGTCGTACAGCAGACCTCCACATGACAAGTTTGATGAAGGTTCCCAAGTTGTATCTTCATAGCCCACCCACTTGACTTTGAACTCGCGTACAGCACGCTCCGTGCTCGTCGTCAGTGGTGTTCTGTCGTCGAGGATGGCCTCGACTTCATATTCACCGGCAACTTGATCTGGTTCCCAGCTGTCCTCAGGCAACAGTTCCTCATCGAAGTCGAGTCTTGCTTCATTAGTCGCGTCTAGTACCAATCGAGTGTTCGGTCGACTGTTGAACTCGTTGACAGCCTTGAGTCTCGACACATGCACTACTGGGTAGAAGCGATACCCACTTCGGTCAGGCAGTTCCAGCTCGTAAGCAAACTCTTCCACCTTGCGCTTGATCCGAAAAGGTCCATGCCATCGGTGAGCTAATTTCTTCGTCAAGCCCGGTTTGACGCGTTCCATGTACAACCACGCCCGGCTCCCAATCTCAAAAAGAGATCTCGGTGGAGCTCTTGCAGGATCTTCCATCTCTTCCTAAGCTTCTGGAGGGTTCGCCGAGTGTTCGTTTACACTTGGTTGAGGTACAGCAGCTTTTTCCAGTCGACTCAGGGCCTCATTATACTTTTTAGCCCTTCGCTCCTTTTCTACAGCCTGATAATCTTTGGCCATAGTGAGGGCGACCTCATGTTGTCGATTGATCTCGCGCCGCCACGCCAGTGCGTCAGACTGCTTGCCGAGTCCTCGTTTGAGTGATGACGCCATTGCCCTCAACGTCGACTGAGCATCCCAACCGTGAACGAGGTAGAACGGCGTTTCCTCCCTCGTAGTGTCTTGAGAAGTATTAATAGCAAATACTAGCTTCTCCGCGATTTCGTCCCAATCTTGCTGTAGAGGGTCTTCCGCGTACACCCGTACGGAACCCATCATCGACTTCACCGAGCGTTCCTGCTGTCCATTAGCCTGTGGCCGATAGCTCAAAGTCGCTCGTGATCTTGACTGCATCATCTCTGCAAATGCTTGGAAAACCTCGCTCATGAAGCGTGGGTCGCGGTCGTGCCTTATTAATGATGGGGCTCCGAATCGTCGGCACACACATTCTTCGAACACTTGGGCAACACTCAGTGCAGTCGTATCTGACATAGCCTTGGCAATAACGAATCCCGTGAACGAGCACTGAAATAGGAGCAACGCCGTGTTGCCCCTGCGAGATTTCGGTAGTGGGATTACAAAATCCATCGAGACGATCTGGAAAGGTCGTTCGGCTAGTACGTTGCCAGGTGAGTATCCACGAAACTGTGGACGGCTTTTACTCGAGCTGCAATCTGGACAGGACTTCACGTGCTTCTCCACGTCTGCGTACAAGCCGATCCAATAATAATCGGACTAAACGCGGTGGAACGTTCTCACCACACCTTGATGTCCTCCTTCCAGCGAGTTGTGACAGTTTTGCAGGACCTCTTGAATCATCGTTGTTGGTACCACAAGCCGCAGCTTGGTCTCCTCTTGCCAACCGTGGTCGTACCAACGATTCAATCCAAGATAGTGAAGCACGCCGTCTTCTGATAACACGAACCGGTCAGCATACTTCCAGGCATCTCGAGCTTCTTTGTAACTCAGCTCTTGTGCTTGGCCCTGAAGCACCTTCTTGATGTTAAACCACTTCTGTTCCTCGTCTTGTGCCACTAGTATCCGTCGGCGTCGCTCCCGCTGTATCGCTACCGGGTCAACATCTTCCGCATCGGGAAATGCCGCTAGTACAGTCTTGTGAGGATGGTCTGGCAAATCCTGGCCGATTGAATCTTCGGTGGACGTCTCTCG